GGCCAGCGCCACGTGCGGCCCGCAGCCGCCAACCGCTGGGCAGTCGGCCTTGGGTGGGGTCGGGCTACCATGTTCACTAACAGGTGGCCTCGGTCGCCCGGCCGGACTCAGGCCGGCCCGTCATGTGACAGCTGCCTGGTTCTGCAGTGAGGTCACCGCGGATGTCTGCCTTCGCTGCCATGGCAACGGGCTGACGTCACAATCCGGGCGTGGAACATTTCCCGGTTGGGCAAGTCCAGATCTAGGAGTCGAAATACCCCAAATGAGGGGGCATCCAGAGAGCTGGACCAGGGTTTTATCGCTCCTATTCCCACCTTCCAGCTAGGGTGTGATTTACATGGATTCTAGAATGATCCAGCGATAAACCCCATAAGGACCTGAGCCATCTCTTAGAAAAGGCTTTCCACCTTCTCACCACCAGGAAATGCATTACTTATCACTTGCGAGTTCTTAAATTGATGTTCTCATTCTCTGCTAGCCAAGTTCCTAGTAAGAAATTCTCAGCAGCAGGAGAGAACCAGTGTTAACCATTGTGAGAGGGGCTGAAATAGCAGCCGAAGGTAACGGCCAGATTGCCCAGCCCGTACAGCGTTTGGGGGCTCAGGCTGGGCTTTCAGAAGACCCTGAGGTTACCAGTGCCCTGAGAACCATGGGCCCCGGGGGGGCTGCATTTTAGAAACCCAGAACTACTCCCCTTCTCTTGTTTTACACACACACACAGAGTGGCAACCAAGCAAGTGGTTGAGGGAGTGTGAGGACAGGGTCAGTGTCTTTCTCCTGTCAGTGTCCTCTGGGTCCTGGACTAGGGCTTGATGCCAAGAACTGCTGCAGAAATGGGGGTCATCTTGGAGCTTGAAGGGGTCCATAAGGCAGGTCCCAGCCTCATTCATTGCATCATTCACTCACGATATGAGTACCTGTGTGTCAGGCAGTGTACAGTGTTCGTTCATAGTAGTGATAGTAATGATAATGGTAAGGTTATTGAATGTTGAATTAATATTAGGGAAAGGAGATGGATGGTAGTGACTCTTCACAGTTATTTTAGTGTGTGTTTGTATTGAGCCACTGCTACACCATCGCATAAAGTGCCAGGAGTAGGGACAGATCAAACAGAGCCCTAGGGTCACAGCCACGGGCTTCAGTAATGGCCAAGTTCAAGGAGAACCGCCTCGCAGCCACCCAAGCAGCAAGCGGCCTGGGCACCCTCGGAAACCTTGATCTCTCGGGCAGTTTGGCACGTTCAGTTGTCACCACTTCCCAACTGGAAACGGAGATTGTGAACGTCTAGTGGCAGCCAGAGTGGCTAGTGCTGCCGGCCACTGTAGAAAACACACTCCTTGCCCTCTAAGCAAATCTGACCTTGACTTAGCCAGGGATGTGTGTCGGGCGCCTGGCAGAGAGGATTGACTGAGTCCCTAGTATCCCCCCACCCATCGGGAGCCCCTTAAAACCAGGGCTCCTGATCCGCGCTCAGAGGGCAGAGAGGAGCTGGATGAGCCACGTTTTCCGGGTGTCAGGATTTGCAGTGATGTGGGCATGAGAGGCAGAGTGAGGGGGAAGACAGAGCAGCTCAGCTGGTGTCAGGAGAAAGGAGGTCTCCCCCCAGCTCCGCTGCTCGGCGGCCCACGTGAGCACACGCGCACCCGCCTGCTGTCCTGTCAGGCCGGAGCTTAAGCGCCCTCCTTCCTTCCTCACAGGGCTGGTGCTGTGACAGGCAAACCAGACCCTGTCGGACAAGGCGTTTGGTAACATATGAAAGGCTGTTTGAATTGGGATGTTGTTGTGAGATGAAATAAAGGAGCCCTTTGACTATTCAGGTCACATGTGTTGTAACCCGCGTCAGTCCTGTTGGGGCCACTGCTCCCAAAGTGTTTACTCACCCAAGAAAACATCAGCAAGGCGGCTAGTGGCCTGTGGCAGGAAGGACCCCTCTGGGGGTGGGAGGAGGCTGCCATCCAAGGAAGGAGGCAGCCCGGGATAGGCTGAGTTCATTCTTCTTCACGGATGTGCCACATATTCATTCAGCGGCTACTGGGTGCCAGGTACCATAGCAGGTGCTGGGCATGCAGACCTGAAGCAGAGATGGTTCTTCCGTCACAGAGCTCACTGCCTGGACATTAAACAAATGAGCACAGTCAAGTGTTAGGATAGGAGCACTGATTCAGTGTCTGGCTCTGTCTATAGAATAGAATAGACCTCATTTAGCATTCACAAATCCCAGGGGGCATCCCCATTTTACAGACAGGGAAACCGAGTCACAAAGGGGTTAAAGTGACTTGCTCACTGTTGCCTGGCTGGTAAGTGGCAGGGCTGGCTGGATTCAGAGCCCATTCTTAGCCACTGGGCTATACCAGTACCACAGTATAGGGAGCATGAGGCCAAATGGAAGGGAGGAAATCAAGAAATACTGGTACTGCAGAGAGTGGTGAAAAACGAGAGGGCGCATGTCCACGGAGAAGGGCATTCTAGGCAGAGCAGCTCAGGCATGAACCCAGGCTATTTGGGGCAGCTACTGGTAATGAGATATCGCTGGGGTGAGGGACGAGGGGCGTCAGATGATGAGAAGCTCTGGCAGGACCAGAGCACGGAGGGTTTCTTGCTTCGCCAAGAGGCTTAGCATCTTCTCCATCTTCCTCCCCCCGGGATTGCCAGTTGGTCCGCTAAGCGTCCCCTGTCGATGTCCCTTGTCTAGGTCTGTGGCTCAAGACATCCCAAAGCTGCAGAAACTGGGCATCACCCACGTCCTGAATGCTGCCGAGGGCAGGTCCTTCATGCACGTCAACACCAATGCCAACTTCTACAAGGACTCTGGCATCACCTACCTGGGCATCAAAGCCAACGACACTCAGGAGTTCAACCTCAGCGTCTACTTTGAAAGGGCTGCCGACTTCATTGACCAGGCCTTGGCTCAAAACAATGGTAAGGAAGCCGCCCCCCAGGAAACGATGGGAGGCAGCTTTTTTAATTTTTAATTTATCCGCATTGTTTGAAAGTATTACAGATGTCCCTTAGTGTCCCCCCAAAGGGGGGCAGCTTTGGCTGGACCTTTTCTTGGCAAACCTGTTGTTTCCTGTCCCCTGTGATGAATGACTGAGAGCTTTAAGTCTGTCAAGTGGCCCCACGTGAC